GTTGGAAGTGTAGACAAAGAGCCTGTACCACTTCAGATGGCTTCTTATCAGTGTAGTGCAAAGCATATTTCACCTATTTTTCATCACACTTGCATCAGTTTTATATTGTATATCTCTCCTGATTGCAACAAATTCACCTTAACACAAATATGATAAAAGAGCCAGGCCTATTGTTCTCAACCTCCCTGATATAAACGTAGAGCAAATGCTTTTACGCAATGTCATTAGGCCACAACTTAGATTAATTAAGGTAGCCTTAGTGGTGGTTTAACCCCAGCCAGAAACCCCACACACCCCTCTCTTACCAAAAGAACTGGAGAGAGAATCAGAAGCGTAAAAGCAGGAGAACTCATGGGCTAAGAAAAGGACTGTTTAATAGGGAAAGCAAAGGCTGTGCACATGAGAAAAACAAACCAAGGTGCTTCCCATGCACTGGCAGGTGTTCAGCCATCTCCAGCAGAGCAGGGCCCCATCATGCAAAATGCTTACTTGGGAAGACAAATGACATCACCACAAATGTCTCCTCCTTTCCTGCTTCTTTCCCCCACTTTATACACCGAGCTTGGTGCCACAGGTCTGGAATATCCCTCTGGTCAGTTTGGGACACTGTCCTGGCTGCATCTCCTCCCAACCTGCCAAGCACCCCCAGTCCCCTCCCCAGTGTGGCAGTACCAAAAGCAGGAAAGGCCTTGGCTCTGTGCCAGCCCTGCCCAGCGATAACAAAATCATCTCTGTATTACCAACTCTGTGTTCAGCACAAATTCAAAACACAACCCCACAACAGCCACAATGAAGAAAATTAAACCTACCCCAGGCCAAAGCAACGCACAAGGAATCTTCCATATCTTCTCCCATTGGTCTTACTTGGGAAGACAAATGACACCACCACAAATGTCCCCCCTTTTCCTGCTTCTTTCCCCCACTTTATACACTGAATTTGTTGCCACAGGGTCTGGAATATCCCTCTGGTCAGTTTGGGTCACTGTCCTGGCTGCATCTCCTCCCAACCTGCCAAGCACCCCCAGTCCCCTCCCCAGTGTGGCAGTACCAAAAGCAGAAAAGGCCTTGGCTTTGTGCCAGCCCTGCCCAGAAATAACAGAAACATCTCTGTATTATCAACTCTGTGTTCAGCACAAACCCAAAACACAGCCCCGTGCCAGCCACTGAGAAGAAAATTCACTGTACCCCAGCTGAAACCAGCATAGATAAAAAATGCACTGTTCTAAATGCCATCTAAACTAACAATGGGAAACTAAAGCAAATGAATCTGATTTACAGTTTTAAGAACAGGTTAAACAGAGTAATCACCATTAGCATAATCTGCCTCAGGGAACAGGAAGGAAATTTCATATCAACTATATGGAGTTAGAGGATACTACACATTGTTTCTGGAATCTTTGTTTTTTTCTGTTGCAAATTAAATATTCTACATCTCTAGAAACCACTTACTTTGATGAAAGCCACTATAAATAAATTATTTTTTCCAAAAGCAACTAATTTGCTTATACTCATATATGTACAAATTTCTCTCCTTTAAAAAATATTCAAATTACATCAGTAAAATAGAGTCCTCTTTTTGCTCCTTGGGTTTGCATTTGGCTGTTTATGAAGATCACAGATTTTCCTATATTCCCCACAAAGATTTAAACTCTGTTTTTCACTGTGTCACGTGTACAGGTCTTTCATACTAAATGTGCGAGGTAAAACCCTCCCACATTCAAGTTTCAGCAGTTTTCCAGATCAATCACTTTTCAATTCTTTTTCTATAGCTACAATGTCTGAATAAATGAAATTAAAGTAGCAGCAACAAACAATGCTGTTCACTTCAAAGCTTAAAGGAATTAAAACTGCACTCATTCCTGAAATCAAAGAGGTGAATCCATAGGTAAATCCTCAGGCATCACTTTGGCTAGTTAACTTGACATGTCAATTAAATGCAAGACTAATTTATTCAATTCTCAGTCTAGTCTGACACAAAACCTATACTTCCCCTCCTTCCTAATTAGCCAAAGTACTTGCTTCTTTCATGCAGATAATTTCTGGATAATTTCATAACCATTACTGTAAAGCATTAACACATTTTTCTTTCAATCATATTTTCCTCCTGTTGACTGACACACCTTTTCTAGTGAGGTTACTTATGCCAGTTTCAGTTCAGTGGGAACTTGCCTGAAGGTCTTTACTGAAGTTCCCTCCCATACACATAGAACAATGATATATAATCATGATGTTAGCTATGGGAAGAGACCTATGTCTTACCTTAAGAAATATGAATGGAAAATTATGCACTACAGTAATGTAGCCATTTCCATTTCTGTATATTTATGAAGCTTAATTGAATAGTACTAAACATATGGTAGAATGCAGTGTGATTAACTCCTTGGAAACGAGTTTAGACGGTGATTCTCTTTAAATAATTTAAGTGGGTTTTTTTCTGACAGAGCAGACTTCTTACAAAATGCCTAAAATTCTGTGAAAGTTAATCAAACACAAGAAATTTATTTTCTGTACACACAAAACGTTAACTATATATTAGGTCTGGCTATGTATGTACGTGGCATGTGGCTATATGCAGCAAACCATACTCAGTATTTGTTTCTTAGTTCTATGTTGACCAATTATTTAAGCATTTTTTTTAAAGATGATTATGAGACTTTATACACAAAGCTAGCTGGAAAATGCATGGAAACGCATGAAAATACCATGAAACATTCATCCACATGAAAATATTGAAGATTTCAGCTAACTTTTAAGTTCTTTCCCTCATTGCATTTAAGTTGGTTTTTCTTCAAAGTGGTAAGAACTGACTATATCCTGCAGAGATGTCAGAAAGCAGAGGCAAAGACTGGAGATTTTCTGAAACTCTGCTAAAGTCTCTGGGGAAGAAAACATGACCAAAAATACTCAAGAAAAAGAAAATCAGTTTCCTAGTATGAAATGTTTGTATTGTTCTATTTGATTGACATTGCTTAGGAACAAGCAATTTGCATAATTTCCATGTGCATAGTCCCTTGGGGAAATTCAGCACTCTTCTCATTCCCCAGTCCCTCCCTGAACAGTGGTCCTGATGCAAGACAGAAGCAAGTCTGAATCACGCAGACTCAGGCACTGCATGATCAGAGCATAAAATTCTTGTCACCTTCTCAATCACAAATGCAACTGTGGAATGTGATGTCACATCTCTCTGGGGGAGGCTCCCTGCCCTGCCTGCTCCAGCAATGCAGTGGTAGGCTTCACATCATCACCTGAACCATCAGAATGCTGCAAGGATTTACTTCACTTCTTTGCATAAGGTGTCTTGTGGCACCACCCAGGCAGTAACTGCACATTTTGCCAACACGACTTGGTCAGAGAGACTTACACTGGCCTCTTGGGTGGGCTCTGGAGCCAGAGCTTGTCCCCAAGAGTGCTGGGACCTTGGTGCCCTGTTACCAAGGGCAAGATAATGATGTCTACACAGTATGCATTGACAGCAGCTGAACACAAAGCTGGTCCATTGTGTCTTGAGACACTGACACTCCAGCAGCTTATCTTAGAATCAGTGCAATTTAACTGGTACAAGCCAGTTTAATTAAAAAAGATGCTCTCATGTGGGCTCAACAGAAAGTATCCTGGTTAGTTTCTATCTGTATGTTTGCCAGTGCAAGCTAAGCCACTTTTGAGAGGTTTAAACCCGCATATGTGTTCCTTTTCAAATTTGCACTAACTAAAATGACAACCGCAGCCAAACTAGAACGAGTTTCACCAGGCTACTTATTTAGGCATTTTTAAAAATGTTAATCTCTTTTACTAATCAGCTTGGTTTGCTGATTGTAGTGATGTGACTAGCCTGCCCTACCTTTGGTTATAACTTGCTGTTTTGGCACATACCAAAGACTAGTAATGCTGTACTGGATGTCTGTTTAATTCATTACAAGGAGTACTAAGGAGCAAGTTCCTTAATCACTGATGTAAGACAATTAACCATTGTACCTGTGAATGTTTTCAGTTCCTAATTCGGCTGCCCACTGGTCTTTGCTGTGACCTGACCTGCAAGAAGCTGGGTGTGAGAACAGAAGCTATTCTGCACTGTCAGCTGCACAAAAAGCAGCTCAGGCACTGCTGCAGCATTGACATGCTACATCTCCTGAATTTCACAGCTGTGGAGAAAACCCCACCAGATCATTTAATCTCTTACACCAAAAGTGCACCGTTGGTGCCCAAGACTTTTAGCTGTTTTGTTTTTACATCTTGGTCTACAACTCGCACTAATGAAAGAAGTTAGATCAAAACTAATAATGTGCAAAATAAGAAATAAACCCCAGATAATTTAGAGTTTCTCATAAGTTTTTAAGACCTTCAAGGAATTTTCAGTGCACGCAGTGCTCAGATAGGCAGCCTCTTCCACTCATTTTGGTAGCCACCATCAGTAACAGCCATGAAGCCTAGGTATCTTTGGGGGTACTGGTAAAATCCAAGAATAAAGAAAGGTAATGCAGTAAGAGTTACTGATGTGACTTATTTCAAAGATTATATTATTCCTTAGAAGTGATACCATTGTCTGTCCACATATCTTTCAAGATATTTTCATTCCTCAATGAAGCAAGAAAAGGGTGTTTGAACACTGATTATTATTCTAAGACAGGAAATCAAAAGCTATTCTAACCAGAAATCATCAAGTAATGCACATATGTTCTCAAACAATCAATAAAATGCACTTGAAGAAGAATGACTTCTGCTCACAAAAAATAGGTCAAAAGCCTTGGGAAAAGAATGAGAGAAAAACACATTCTGAGTACTACTATACAGAAACAAAAAGGAGTTTTGTGGGGTTTTTCAGTAATTTTCTGTTCTGCTGATTTTCTCACCTATCATCAAAAATGTTGCAAAGAAACATGCAACTGTTTTATCAAAATGTCCTGCTTCCACTACTACCAAGCTGTCTTTGTTCCTAGGACTATTCAGCCAGAGAGGGGACAAACTGCCTGCGCTACTTCATAATTAAATAAAGTATTAATTACCATTATTAAAGGAATCCTTGTTGCTTTTGCAGGAAAAAGACATCTGCTGGTAAGGACTAGTGGATTTCCACAGTACACTAGTTAATGCTGGCTGACAAGAAGTGTCTGTTTTGAGGTCCACCTGATTTTCACTAGTCCCTGCTACATCAGAATTTGAGATATTCATCCCATACACACCGTCCTCATAAACGAGAGAAGAATTTGATCTGTTGATTCTTCTTAGAGACACACACACTACAGCTTCATTGAAGTAGAATGCATTTTCACCATGTAAGCTGTCCAATTGATTATGTCCCATTATCTGCAGAAGGGGAAAAAAAACAGCAAAAACCAGAGAATTTTATTTTCACCTTTGTCAAGTAACAGAACCAGAGAATCACAGAGTATGTCAAGTTGGAAAGGACTTATAAGAATCATGGGAGTCCAGCTCCCTGCTTCTCACTATGTAAAAGTGAAGTGTATGAATATAAGCATCATCCTGAAGAATCCCTATACCAGGATGCAGAAAATTAACTGCCAGACAAATGGGGATTCATAGCAAATAGTCATCTAATCTGCCAGAGGTTAACCTCAAAACACATTAAATTTGATGTGCATTCAAGAATAAACAGCAATAACCTAGCAGATGTGGTCTTAGCTCACATTGAAAGAAGTAATAACTGCAAAGTAACAGATAAAAAAGGACTACTATCTGGGATGCATTGAGCTCTGCTGACTAATTCCAGAGGGTTAATATTTTGCCTCATGGCTCAACATGCCACTTCTCATATGTAAATCTGTGTACTCTGCAATCCAAAAATAACACTGTACCTCACACAGACAGGCAATCACAGAGAATAGGGCCGCAGCAGTCAAACTGGAGATGGCAAACAGCTTTAGCAAGCAAGCCATGGCTCCCAAGGGTGGAAAATGCAACTCCTGCAGACTCTTTGTCTGCAGGTGTTTATTAAGGCCAATCTCACAGAAAAACACAGGAGTATTAGAGTGAGTTATTGCATTGTTTGGTCACACAAAATTATCTAGGCTCTGTGCAATACCAAAACATTGGGAGGAGAATACCAGCTGACTGACAATCACTCAACCGGTTCCACTGCTGCACAGAATATGGTAGTGGAAACACAGGAGAAAGACAATCTTAAGGTCTGGATGGATTCAAAGCCATGTAGTCTACTTAAAAAAAATACAAGTAGATTTATGAATTAAATATTAGATTACAAAAACTACTACTCTCTGACACTTAGCACTGAATTATTTTGCCTCTCTGTGCAATCCAGATATCCCTGTATCAGACTGTTATCCTTCAATTTCCCCTCCTAGAAAGATTTCAGAAGTCACATTCCTTAAAGCTGATGGGAAACTTCAGTTTTGGATTTATCATCCACTTCTTAAGCACTGCCAAACAAATCAAAACTGCAGCACATGCTATGCTAGTGTCTTCATTGTTTGGACTAGCAAGCATATATGGGTAAGTCATGTTCACACTGCGTTCACAAAAGCCAGATGAAAAGAGGGAGGTCAGAGGCCAATCCTTTAACCCCTCAGGCAGGCACAATCTTAGATGCCAAATGGTTATGGTTGAGTTGCCAGCTGAAAAACTATGGAGGTGATGGCTTGAAGAAAACCTCTACAGATTTTCTTGTAAAAATGAGAACCTGAGGGGAAAAAGAAGCTCTTTGGGTCAGTGAGCTTTCCATATGTGGAAAAGCCAGACGAAATGTTTTGATTTTCAGGTGCTTTAGAGAACAGTTAGGGAAATCAAGACCACAACCATGAAGCAAGTATTACAGATGAGGACCTACCTGGCAGGTGAGCACCCAGACAGCTGAGTTCAGAGGCAGACTGTGTCCTTCACCCTCAATAAAAACTTAATCATTTTATTGTTAAACACTTAAGCAGCTTCGAGACTACTTTAAATTGCACCCAAAAATAATAAGCATCTCCAAGGATTTATACTGTCAGGGATGGAGCCACACATCAAACTCTTCCCCTAGGGGGCTGGTTGGTTCAGGGAACAGGACAGGAGGGCCTGAAATGTGGGGTTCACAAGAGCCTGATGTTTGTTACTCCTGAAGGTGCATCTTTTCCTTCCTGGAGCTAGTGGTCCAGGAAAAAGAACAGCAATCAAAGACTTCATTAAGTGCTTTATATGCTTAAGCATTACAATAATTAACTTTTTCTACAAGACGCAGAGACACAATGTATCTTACAAACACAGTAGCAAAGCAGAATAAAACACAGATTCTCGTATTTATAACTTCTGTCTTCTCAATTTAATGAACATCTACCTAAGTTTGGATTTTGTAGGTATCTAGCTTAAAATCACAGAATGGTTGAGGTTGAAAAGTACCTCTAGGAGACATCTGGTTTAACTCCCCTGCCAAATCAGGGCCACATAGAGACAGTTGCCAATGACCATGTCCAGGTGGCTTTTGAATATCTCCAATGACAGAGACTCCACAACTTTGCTGGGCAACCTGTGCCAGGGCTCCGTCACCCCCACAAGAAAAAACAGTTTTCTGATGTTCAGAATGAATCCTCAGTATTTTTGTATGTGCCCATTGCCTCTGGTTCTGTCACTGAGTGCCACTGAAAAGAACCTGCCTCCATCTCCTTCAGAACCTCCATTTAGGTGTTTTTATACATTAAAAGGAACCTCCATTAATAGGAACCATTTCTTCTCCAGGGTTGAACAATCTCAGCCTCCCTTAATGGAGAGATGTCCCTGCCTCTCAAACAGGCACTTCACCAGACATCCATCCTCCTGCCTCCTCTCCACCCCACAGCTCTATGCCTTTCTTGCACTGGGGGAGCCAGACTCCAGGTGTGTCCAGAGCAGAGAGTCAGGATCCCCTCATTTGACCTACTAGCAAAACTTTACTCAGTGCAGCCCTGGAGACTATGTGCCACCTTTGCAGAAGGGCACATTGTTTGCTCATGTTCTACACCAGGACTCCCAGGTCCTCTTCACAGAATCATAGAATCACAAAGGCTGAACAAGATCTCCAAGATCATTAAGTCCAACCTTTGACCCAACACACCACCATCACATCCATTAAATCATACCACTAGCTACCATGTCCAGTCACTTTTTGAATGCTTCCAGGGACGGTGACTCCTAAGCAGCCTGTTTCAATGCCTGACCACCCTTTCAGCAAAGAAATTCTTCCCAATGTCCAAACCAAACCTTCCCTGTCACAGCTCAAGGCCAATTCCTTGTGTCTTCATACTAGTTGCCAGGGAAAAGAGGCTGACTCCCATCTTGCTACAACCTCCTTTCAGGTAGCTGTAGAGAGTCAAGCTGATTTCCAGTAGGTGATCACCAGCATCTACCCATGCATGGAGTTGCTCCTTCCCAGGGACAGGACTTTGCAATTTCCCTACTTAAACTTCATGACATTCAAAGAAAATGCTTGGATATGCCTGAATCTCAGCTTCCCACATGCTCACTCATTACTTTAAGAACCAACAAAACCCAGACATCCTGGCCTATTCGTCAAGGCAGGTCTCTAGGAATGCAGTCAGGGGTATAATTACAATGGGGAAGCACAAACCTGATAGTCCCCTGTGTGTGAAAACAGGCTGTTTTGCTGGCCATGCTTCCAGTGCCACACGAGTTTCTTCTGCATTTTCACATTGTCTCCTTCTCTCTCCACCATTTTTTGCCCCTCCTGGAGCCTCTCCAGACTCTGCTGGTACTCCTGCAGCTGCAGCGCCAGTCTCTGCCGGCTCTGCTCCAGCAGCTCTTCCTCGGACTGGCACTCCCGTTCCCGCTGCTCCAGCCGGCCCGCCCTCGCCTCCTGCTCCCGCTGCCGCTGGTCACATTCACGCAGCCACCGCTGCTGCTCTTGCTGAAACTGCTGCTTCATTTTGTGTATGTTGGCCAGTTCCACCCTTTGTTTTTCTGGATTCTGATATTTCTCTTGTTCCAAAACAAGGTTTAGCCGAGAACCATGGCTCCGACTGGTCTTCTCATTCTCTTGCAGGAGTAACCTATGGAGCTCTTTGTGGCTGTCCTGGATAGCCAGTGCTGCCTAGACACCACAACAAAATCAGACACAAATGTTTAAAGATCAGCGTTAATCCATTTCTGTGTTTTTACATAGAATCATTATATAAAAATGCTTGAACTTTTTGGGGAGGTTATTCCTCAAGTAAATAGATAAAATTATGTGATAATGCCTTTACATAGAGATATTTCTAAAATAAAACTCAATTCTTTTGAGCACTTTTAACAAAGCTTCTGGTTTATACTTAGTGTTATTATACATGTTTGTGTTACAGCTGTGCATATGCACTTCAGTTACAGCTGGGATCCTGTTCTGTCAGAGGATGTAGAGACACACAGGAAAAATGGTTTCATGGTTGAAGAGGGCAATACTCACCCAAGTATTCCTAACACAGCTGTGACTTCCACACATAAAACTGTATTGTTTCCAAGTGAGTTCACCCTGGGTTTAAGGCTCTCCTTGCTAACCTGCAACACTGCAGGCCAACTAACACCAGTGCTACAGGCACCTGCCAGCACAGCCATGTCACCAGGACTGCACCACTACACACACCTGACCAAGGTGTCAGTGCAAGCATAAACCTGCAGTATAGTAATGGTTTCAGGTTTGATGTTCCTATTTTACAGCCGAGAACTCTATATTCCGTGCCTCACAAGGATGTTGTGACATTGTTTGCATTAAAGGTTGTGACATCCTCCAATAACACAAAAACAAATAGCTGGGACTAAGAAGAAAGAAAAACAAGAAAACCCTAGATCTGCTGAGGCACTTACTGCGCTATGTTCAAGAGTTGACATGGGCATCTATTTCAGGAGACGTTCCCAGAGAACTCACGTAGCCCCACTGCCCTGTGCTGTCCACCCCAGGAAGTTTTTGGCTTCATGCAATGTGCCATCTGCACTTTCCTTGGCTCTTCCTCCAGTATTGGGTCAGTTCCAGTGACTTGTAAACAGGACAAGATCCTCTGCTTGTTTCTTGGCACCTGACTGCCCATTCATGGTCTGAGCAGTTAAGGCATAATCCTAAACCTTACTTTACTGTCCCTATTTGTTTTTCAATTACTCAAATTTTTTCCCCTGAATTACAGGATTTTTATTTTTCTTTTGTATTGTTTCAATACACTTAACTTCTAAGCCCAAGGTTTCCAGAATTATTATGAAATATGCTAAGGTCAATAGGGTCTAAAAATTAAGTATACAAATGAAACATTTAAAAATAGAATTATAAAAGTGAAGCTAAATAAGAAGACATAAGACATTCAAGCTTAGCATAAAAGAGGCAAATACTTCATACTAAGGCCCTACAGTAAGTGTATTAAGTAAGCAAAGTAAGTAAGGCCCAAAGCAAGTGACATTTAAGCATCTAAAATGGCTGAGTTTGCTACCTGAGCTACCTGGCCAAGTTACTGCTTACTACTAGCCAGGAGAACAGTCTAATCAAAATACAAAATTTTTTCAATTCTTTGAACTATAGTTTTATAAATCTGTATGTGGAATGACATCAGTTCAAGTGGAGCCATCATTTTTCTTTCCTGCTAGGTTTTTGGACTGTACAGACATCCTCTTTTTGGAGGAGGGACTGATCTCCAAGCAGGTTAGTATTATTCAGTTCTTAAAAGAAACCTACCACTGATGTAGAATAAAACCATATTCTATGACAACTTATGCAACAGTCAGAAGAGATCAGGATCAATTAACATAATGTCTAAAAGTAGGACAACATGAAAACAACTCTTTAAAGGCAAATTATTAGGACAAATTAATTACTCCCTGAAGTAAGTAGTGGAGTAGTCACCTGCACACTGTATAAGAGACGGGTTAAGTTCTGGATTGCTTGTACAATCTAGAAAATAAAAGAGAAGGATTTTCAAAGGTTTGACCACTGTTAACTACATAATTACTACATTCTGTCTGAAGTTTAAATTAACTCACCTCTGTCCCTGTAGATTCTGAAAAATTCATACTTCCTCCCTAAAATAAAGATATGTAGCTTTAAAAAGTTGTTTTAAATTTGTATCACCAAGGTAATTTTTTTTTAAACTAGTGGGGACATGTGGCTAGGAAATGTGTACTGAGTCAACCCTTTATGTGGGTATATTAAAAAAGACAGACGCAACAATCTGTGAAGACTAATAATACATCAATAATGGAGTTTCCATGGAAATTACTAGAGATTCTGAACACAACTGTTCATCCACAATTTTAATCCCTTGTGAGTAATGCTACATAGAAAAGACATTTCAATTCATTCTTTGTTTACTTGAGAGTTTTGAAATACAGTAACCGGATTTCTGTATAGTTTCTATACAGTACAGTGGGTTAAGACTACTTACAGTAGGACAAAACAGCATAAGGCTTTTCAAAAATAGCGATTAAAATGTACTAAGAAACTAGCAAGAAGTCTTGTTATTGGATCACAAAAAATGCCTTAGGTGCCCTGTGAGATGCTGTGCCCAGTACACGCTACAAAAGGCACCAGCATGGTCACTACTGTCCTCTGCAGCAAGGCAGAGCTGCCTCACACTTTCCATCCTGCTCCCTTTTCCTAAGAAGCTCTCTAAATTTATGGGGTGAAGCTACCCATAATCCCTTCAGCATGAAGAACAGCTCCTCTGAGAAAGATAAGATGAAATGGTGAGGACTGCTTCAAATATAATCCCTTCTGAGACTACGCTGAAAAGACTTCCTGTATGATTTTTCTTTCTTTTTTTTTTTTTTCTTTTTTTTTTCCCCCAAAGAAGCTGAGGAGAGTTTGGGGAATATTTGTTTTCTCTCTGATTCTCTTAAGTTCTCTACTGAGTCTCATTTTCCACCACAGAGAGCAAAGCATCTGCTACATTTAGATGCAATAACTGAAAATGAAAATGAGAAAGACCAGCTCCCTAAACACAACCCAACACAGACACCCATGGGGCAAAGGGAGTACCAGCTGCATCATTTCCTCCACTACTCTTTCTCTCATTATATCTCTTCAGTATTTCTTTCCACTCCCCCTCCACAACTTCACCTCCTCCTCCTCCTCACTATCTCCAAGCTATAGAAAAGCTCAGCTCTCCTGTGAAAGCAAAGGATTTTGTGTGGATGTCTTTGTGCAGCACAAGAATGGACTCAAGACAGCTCTGCTTTTCCTTAGCTGGAAAAGGTAGGGAGGCAGCACAGGGCCAGAAGGGAGAGAAAGAAGATAATGCTGGAAGGGTGAGGAAGAGTGTACAAGGGAGAGCCTGCACATTGGACAAGAGCAGGGTTTCCTTCAGGTTTTTAAGCCCTTTTTAATTGAAAGCAGATGTGCACAGGGGGAAGGTTTGTCTGGCATTGTCTTGACCAAGGAGTTGCAAGTGGCCAGTCCCAGTGCCCGTGGTCCCCTCACTGCAGCACCACTTGAGTGCTAAGACATGAGGCTGAGGCAGGTTTAGCTGAGCTGGCACATGCCCTGCAAGTCCAGCTAGGAGTGAAGCTGTAATTTCAGGTGTTTAACTGTGCTGATGGCTACCACCGCCTCTCTGCCACTGTTCCTGATCACCTTGGTTCAGAGAGATGAGGATGGTCAGATTCCAGGGCAGGCTGCACTGTGCTTTGAACAATGCCTGCAGAGATACACTTAAAAAGCAGGAGCAGGGGAGACAAGATGAGAATCACTTCTCACAGATGTCCACTGCGGATCCTTCATGTTGCAGGTTCAATGCTCTTCCTTCCAGTACCTAGTCAGCATCTAACCTCCAAGCTGGGAGCTCTTGCCCCTGTGTCCAGCTCCTGTTTTCCCAAGCTAGCTGGGCTGAGTCCAGAGCTGTCAGCCCCCAACCCTGGGACTGCACACCCACCTCCCCGGAAAGCCCTTGCCTTGCCTGTTTTCTTTGCTCATTCTGCCACCTCCTGGTAAGTCTGATTCTGACACGGTATCAGAAGATGTGATGCATGCCTTGCCCAAACAATAGGCCATAAATAACAGGAAAATGGCTTAGGGTGGAAGAATTGGGTGCAGGTCCCTTCAGCTTTATGAATGGGCATAGCTTCAAAGTTGCAGGAGGTTGCTGAAGGCCTTCCCCAGCCAAATCCAGGAAACCTCCAATGGCAGAGACCCCACAACCTCTTTGGACAGACACTGCTCCTTGGTCATCCTTGCCCTGAATTTTTTTCCTTATATACACTCAGAATTTCCCTTGCTGCAACTTGTAATCCTGGAGACTCATCCTTTTGTTGTGCACCTCTGAAAAAAGCCCAGCTCCACGTTCTCTATAACCCCAATGGCAAAGTTTTCATGTAGAACTACTGCAATTTTTAGTGGGCTATATCTGAGCCCCTCTACCCTCTCTAGGCTCTATTCCTCTTCACCTGCTCTCTCATTTGGTCTTTTGTTTTCAAACAATTTTTTCCATTCACATTCTTCTTCCTGCTCCCTTCTATCAGCAGTCTGATAAGTAAGATGATCCAGTGTTAAGCATAAGGTGAGGTTATAGAGAGATTAGTGTACTAGCAAGAGTATTCCCAATATAGACAACAAACAAACACAAGGTTTCAGGCACACAAGCCCTCTTTCAGGCCTGATGCAAAGACAGTATGTTAACACTAAACTTTCGAGCAAAGTTTTCTTTCCATTTCAAAGTTTGTATCTTACATTCTTGTCTCTCCCCTTTATTCCTTTTGTGATTCTTATTCTCCACCTAAGATCTACACTATTACGGTTCACTTTATTTTCACACAGTAATTCATGTTGCTTACTCCAACACTCTGCTGCTACATAAAATTTGTCATTCCTAGTCTTGTCCAGAACTGATTTTTGATTCTGCTTTTCTCCCCACATTTGCTTATCAGCTACAGGACTTTGCAAAATGGGCACTTTTTTTCTATTCTCTAATTGCTCCATTTTGTTTTGGTTCAAATTCTGAAGCAAGCTGGTGTAAAAACATCCATCCTATCTTATGTGCTTGTTCTCAGGACGAAGTTCTTCCAATGCACAAGTGTTCCTTGCATTAGCTGAGGACTCTGTCACTGCAGGAGACTTTCATCATCCTGTGAACGGGAACAGCTCATACAAATGGTTTGAAAACACTGCCTGTTATTACAACTCACTGATCTTAAGCCTTGCAGAAAAATCATTCTGTGCTTGGATTGTTTATGGCTACTTTTTAAAATTTTATTATTAATTGCTGTGACCTCTATTAGACTGAATTACCTGGATCTGAGTGAAAATCCCCATAAAAATTTGAATAGTATGTACAGGCACAGTGCCCAGACTGCCATGTGCAATGCAGGAAGAAAAACTTACAATACCTTATCCTCAAGATCGGCACCTGCAATTTCCTTTTCAACACTGAGATCAATTTCTGGTGATTCTTCAATTTCTTTTCTTTCTGCATCTAACAGATAAAGCCCCAAGAAAATGCATAAGAAAGGTATCAAAGCATATATTGACTAGAAAAACAAAGAGCATGCTTTTTTACAGCTACTCAGAACTATGAGACTATGAGAAAGTGATTTTTATGGCTTGTAGTTACATAATGGATCCTAGGCTGGGGAAAAACAAATTTGCAAACCATGATAGCACATGTGGGTCAAAAATGCTCTGTATCAATGTTTTTTAGACAACTTTATTCACAATTTTGTTTTGAGAAATTAGTGCTACCTTTTGCAGCTGAAATTATTGGAATATCAATCCCAGTTTTCAAGCCTCCTGACAACAAGAGAAATGGCCCATAGTGCAATATAGACCTGGTGCAGAGCTGAACAAAAATTACAAGAAAGTGTACTTTCAACAAAGTTATCTAACAATTTACACTACCTCAGCATTTGCCCAAAGACAACTTTTACTACATTACTTTCTATCTGGTATCAATTATTTTAGCACTCTAAAGATGTAAAAGCACCAAATTTTACTCACCACCCAGAGCAGATTCCAGTATTTCATTGGTAGTGAATCTATGCTTCACACTTAATTCCTCAGTACTTTCCTCAGGTGATCTGTCTGTTTCATCACTCACTTGTGATGTTGTTACAGCAATGTGGAGACTTTCAACTGAAGAGGAAAAGATGCAGAATTACAGACACCCCTTAAATCGCTCTTTAGTGCATAAATGCACTAAGTTCCTCAATGATATAGAAATGATTGACCAGGGAGTAATCTAATTTGTAAGGGACTTTCAGAGGTCACCCAGTCCTGCACTTCACTAAAACTGGTCAGTCTAAATTGTGTTGCTCAGAGCTTTGCACAACAAGCCTTTAACACCTCCGAAGATGGAAACTTCAAAGTCTCCCTGAGCAACCTGCTCCAGTATTTTAACATTCTCATGGCATTTGATTTTTAATTTTAGTTAATTGGAATCGCCTGGATTTCACCACAGGACTATTGTCTCTTGTCCATGTGTTCTTTTATTGTCATGTGCCTCTGAAAAATCCGTCTTCTCTATATCCTCCCATTACACTGCTGTGGACAGTAATGAGATCACACCAAGCCAGCTACCTCAGCTTGCCTTTAGACATCATGTTCTCCAGCCCTCTAGTCATTCTGGTGCCTTTCACTGGATTTGTTCTACTTTGTCAATGTCTCTCTTGGCCAGGGAAAGTGCAGCATTCGTCATGGCAGCCCAGACAGGACTCATCAAGGTTAAGTAGAGGAAGAATCACCTGCCTCAACTTGCTGGCAACTCCCCTCCTACTGCAGCAGCACAGGAAGCATTTGGTCGTCTTTGCCACAAGAGCAACTGCTGCCTCATGGTCAACCTGCTGTCAAGTAGGACTGCCAGGTCCACTTCCACAAAGGTATTTTCTACCTCATCAGTGTCCAGTCTGCACCAACACATAGGATTACATCACCTAAGATGCAGCACTTTGCATTTATCTTTGTCAAATGTCTAAGTGTTCCTCTTACCATTTTCTCAATCTGTAGAGGTCTCTTCAGCTCAGTGAATGCTCCACCTCTCACCATGACAGTCATGGGCTTGCTAAGAATGTACTCATTACATTAACTGCATTAATAAATATGTTGAACACTACCTGTCTCAGGATACACCCGCTAAGAGAATCCCCTAATAACATGATACCAACTGGATGGCATATGACTGACCCCTTCAGCCCAGCAGTCCAGCCTGTCTTCCACCCAGTTAAGCAGTTTACATCGAGTCAGATGTAATACTACAGCCAGTGCAAACAGTGTTGAAGGTCTGAGAGATGTCAAGGTAACCAACATGCACCCTTCTCTCCCCATAAAACTTGTCAGGTTAGTCAGCCCTAATTAATCTGTGACAGTCGCTCCAAATCATCTTCCTTTCTTTCAGGTTCTTGGAAATACCTTCCAGGAGGATTATCTCAGAGATGCTGGTCAGACTGACTGTTTTTTAGTTCTGTATATATTCCTTCTTGGAGTGTGAGGCTTGCTTTCTTCAAGTCATCAGGAACCTCTCCTGATCACTGTGACTTTCAAAGTTGACAGAAAACAGCCTCACAGTGACATTGGTCAGCTTGCTGAGCAGCCTTGGATTTATCCCATCTCATCTCATGGATTTGTGTACATCTAATTTGCTTAAGCACTATGTAATTCTGTCTTTCTCTACTGTGAGCAATGCTTTATTCCCATAGAGTCTGCTATTAGCTCAGAAACTTAGTATTTCCATCTTGGAAAAAGATCCCTACAAATTGTCTACAATGTTAACAACTGTAAGCTTACACAGAGTGTTGTAGAGTTCCAAAATCAAAGACATCATCAACATCAACAACAGCATGAGAGAAAGTGAAAAATACAGAAGTGGGCAGAATAAGGTATATAATAACTGTAGGCTGCCATTTCAAGTACTTTCTGTTTCATCACTGACTTACTGTACCCTACACAAATTTAATAAATTTTATCAATAAAATGCTCTTTGACTTTATAATGATGATGAAGACTAAGCTCCACTGCTTTATAGGTTGAAATGTTGTTAGTAGCACACAGTTCTCAACTTAGGTGATGCTAAAATCAGGACTCAGTTTACCAGGGCTCCTTTCCACTGAGTTTAGAAGTTTAGTTGAAGATCCAGCTAGGGAAGGTATCTACAAATACCATTCCCTTCCTTCCTTTGTAGGACAGCACTGTAAATGGTGCAGCCATCTAACAACACCCTGTTAGATAGCAGGCAGAAAAAACAGGGCTCCTACAACAATTGTGCTAGGTGTTTCTTGGTAGAAATTTGATTTGCCCTGTATGTAATCATACAGGATTCTGAAGTGACATCAAAATCAGCCAAGGCAGGTGAAGGCTGGGGACCAGGCAATATCATACTGCATACAAGCTTCTCCCCTGCTGTGCTTCACAGAGCTGTACTGTGAGGACAGCTAACAACCTAACACCACCCCCTGCCTGCTTATATTTGATGCTATGCCCTAAACATAACCAAAATATCCAGGTATTTTACAATCTGGCAGGTACCATCTCCTGTATCTGACAAAAATCAACAGATTTTTGTTCTATGCCCTTTTGGAATTTTTGACACTGCCACTTCTTGAGACCTGACAGAATTACAACACAAGGCCACATGTCTGCACTTGGTCACCTTAAAATATCTGCTCACATGAAGAGCCACCAATCCACTCTTCCAGTGCAAGCTCACCTTCTCTGAGTGCTGCTGCCAGCAGTGAAGCAGCCTGCGGAGTTTCTCCGGAATCTGGTTTGATAAGTAGGTGAGGTTCTACATGGACATCGTCAAACCCACACATATCTGCCAGTTCTGCATAGATATGCAGCTTTTCTTCTAAGTAATTGCAGATTTGCTGGTCCTGGTTACTCAGTGATTCTGTCAACCAAAATGGAACAGTGCAAAATTGAAAACTGTATTACCATTTTTTATCCTGCAGGGAAAGCATGCTCCCCATTCATCTTTCTAATCTTTATGCCACATAGAAAGTGCTAATTCAAGTTAAGCTTCTTTTAAGTGGCCAGGACCCAAATTCATCCAAGTTCATCCCACAGTCTATCCAAATGAAAGCTAGCATACACCCTGGCAGAGTCTAGGCCAAAGCCCTGCGCTGATGAGGTGGCTTTGGCTGCTCTCTCTGACCCTCATTACTGCTGTCTTCTTATAGCAACATGTTAGTTCTACCTGCTGGGAAAGCACTTGCTCATGTTTGCTAGTAACTCAGGGCCTCAACTTCAGAGAACGCCTACTTTCAGCAGAGGATCCCTTCCCTGTGGCTCTCAATAGGACAGACATTGCCACAATTTCTCTCCTCACAGCAATATAAAGATGTGGGAGTTAGGCGTGGGGGCACCAAGGAAGCAGAATTTATCCTTATTAGCTATATTTGCCAATAAAAATAATAGCAGCAAAGGACAAAGTGCTATAAACAAACACAAAGCCACACAATTTTGAAGATTCAAGGTATTTTCACAAACTCAGAACTACCTGATCCTGAGGCTAATCTGCAAAAATCAGTATTTGTTTTGAAAACATCTATTTTCATTTTTATTTTTCAGTTATAGAAATGTAGCAAAACCATTAAAGTGTTTGGAAAAAACATGCTTCTCTTTTACTACCCTCACGTTATACCATCAGACCACCTCATCTGTCTCTGCTGTGACTCTGCCTGTTGAGCCACTTCGAACACATCAACCAGTATGAGTGCATTACTAATTCATCCTGAATTCCGAGGATGCCGGAGCTCTTAGAGCGACAGGAAAGGTAACACACCTTGATATTTCTGAATCCTGTATGCCTTGGCCTCAGCAATACGTCTGTCCTCATCAGATTCACTCATTTTTACTTCCTCTTCCTCTTCCTCTGGACAACTTGAAAGATAAAAGACAAAGGTGGATAAAGCAAAATCTGCACATCACATATTCCTCTTCAATACAATGTTATGTTCACAATAAACAGAACACAACACCAGCACCTTTTGCAACAATCCAGAAGCATGCCATTTGTCTGCCTCTTTAAGAAGCAGCAAGTGGACATCAAGCAGACTGAAGGACACCTTATTACTCTGGTAAGGCTGCACTGTGCAGCGAGAGTGGCTGGTGCACACCCACAGGCATGCTGTCCCAAGCATAAGCTTGGCCCCATCAGAAGCAATGTTTTCCCTACCATTCTTAATGAGCTGACACCAAGATAACAGGCATGTTATTATGATTTCCTCAAAATGGTTGTATGGACACCTGCAGGACCCTGGAAGGCAGCCAGTGCCAAAGGCAGAGGTGAGGGAAGGCTGGTACAATGGTTGGTAAGGATGTCTAATGAGGAACAGAAAGGGTCTGATTCAGTGGGAAACCAGGAGGAATATGGGAAGTATGGCAGGAGTGATGAAGAGGTTTTGGCACCTTGAGCTCAGAGGAAAACCCAAACTCACAGATGGACCCAGTACAATGCAGAACAAAGAACATGCTACCATGAATATCCAACCAACTTCCCATCTACTTTGGACTACCAGCATGAAAACCAAACTCCTTTTTCCCTACCTTTCCACTGCCTCTTGAATATGCCTCATCCAGTTGTTACGTTCTTCTTTGGAGCTGGTATGAACCTCATACATCTCAGGCCCCACAGATGAAGCACTGATCAGAAACATCCCCCTTTCTTCATTGGCTACTTCTCTTACTATGAGCTTCTGAAGGGAGATAACTGAAGGCTTCTGGTCCTGGAGGAAGCAGTCAAAGTACATGCATAATAAGTTACTTTCTTATAAAACACCACACTCTAGGAAGAACATGATTTTTCAATTCATTGGACTAACACTAGTCCTGGTATAGTCAGACTACTGAAAGTTTGAGTAATCAGACATCCTTTTAAACTATTCTTTAAAATATGTTACACTGTCAACTAACAAATCAAGCACTAGGTATGTGCTAAAAAGAAAATCTCAGAGGCTCACTGATACTGAGACACAATATTCATATAATGTTTATATTTATATACTTTGGGAACTTCTTTCCATGACCTTTCATGTCTTTTATGTGTGTTTACTACTATATTTTCAGTAACAATTGTTCTTCTGTTTGTTTTATGGAACAAAAAAATTAAAATTTATATTAGACAACTGAAAGAGCCTGCATTACTTCCCACCTTCACAACCATGAAAAGCACAACATTACAGATATAATTCTGTTAATTTTATCCTTTTCCACAAAAAAACTTACTTTTGAGAACAAATTAAATTTTCTATATACTGACATACAATACCAGGATTTTAGGAAAAAAAAAAAAAGTTATGGGGGAATGAGCTGGATAAGGACCTAATTTTTGAGAAATACACAAATTAATGTGCAACATATGTGTTAAAATATCTGACAATATACTCACAACAGCTGCAAAGATGTATTTTTGATCCTTTTCTTGTAAGAACAGTAGTACATCAGTTAGAAGCAGAGCTAAGGTGTCTTAAAATGAGAAATGGAAAATACTGGATTTTAATTAAGATTACTGCAATCAGTGTTAAATTATTACTTTATCTTTATAAAGGGAGAAGCCCCGATGAAGAAATATGTCATAGAATCCTACAGTAAACTAAACGGGAAATATCTGAATTAGCCCATGGTCTCCACAAAGGACTTGCACATCCCTGCTTTGTATCTCCCAGGAAAGTGCACTACGCTGGAACACATGCCCAGGGAAAGAAGAAATCCTTGCACCAATGGCAGTACAACTTCCCTAAGCCTGGCAAAGGCTACCTCACATAACCCTGCTTTGTCTGTGCTGTAACACACACTCATAGCACAGTATTACACTGGTAAAAGCATTTCTAGAATAATGATCAACAGACAGCTTTATAAAGTTGTAGAGCAAAAACTAGTAGGATCTAAAGAAACCCTAACCCCTAATACATGATTACCACCAAAAATCAAAATCTGAGCTTGCATGTAAAAATTGTGCTCCAGACAAGTGTGGCTTCAGAATTTCTTTCCTACTATGGATGTCTCATTACCACTGAATTGTTAATAAGCTATTTTCAATGGCAAATACTGCAAACAATAAAAATGTACAAGTCAAAACATTATGTTATTAAATTAAATTTGAAACCAAAAAACTAGAAGGAGGGGATTAGAAGAAGAAATGCAGATGGTATTATACATGAACTTGTGTTCTTATGCAGATTACTCACAAATTATGGCAGCTTCTGGAACTGGTCATCCAGAAATTAGTGGAACATTGGCAATACCATTATCGCAGACATTCTTATTTGCAATATAGCACAAGAAAGTATTTTCACTCTTTAACTAGTCTTCAAATGTTATTTGCAAGTAAAGAGTTAAAAGACTTTACTGCTTAGTGGAAATACCTTTGAATCGACCAGTTGCTGTCTTCCAATACACTAAACCTTCATGAAGAAGTATCCTCTCTTTCCTCATCAAGTCTTGCTTCCTAAAAACATGGCCATTTTTCAGCTTTGTATATGTTTTGTTCTCAGTTCTACAGAGAATTTCCAACAGCTTTTGCTTTTTCTCATACTCATTCACTTTCAAATCTACTGTTGCTATTATATCCTTAATTAGACGAAGGGCTTTGCACAAGTCTCTATGCTCTTCTGTTCCTTCTGTATGAAACAAAATATAAACAACATGACACTAGTCAGCATGTTCAAGAGAAGATATAATTCCTTGCTTTCTGGAAACAATCAGCATGATGCAAACCGTAAATTGATACACTTGTTAATTTAAGTTGAAACTTGCAACCATTTTACTAGAATTATTAGAGGTATATACCTTTGACTCACCTATTAAAAGATGACCTGTACCTCAGATTTATTCATTAGCCAAAACATGTTGGATAGTTTCTGAAATATTTATGAGGTGCCAACACTCAAAAAAAAAAAAAATTAGTGGCTAAGTAAATCATATGGTATATTATTTTTATGGCTAAACAAAAGTACCCTTGAAACAGGATTGCAAGTACAAAGGATTTGCATTGTATATGCAACTTTCTACAATGCTCATTTACTGCTCATTTAGGGGGCAATATCTGTAAGTTAATAGTAATTGTAAAAAGTTATACTAAGTTCCAGAGGGCACTCAATCTTTGCCTGAAAAAACAGAGTAATTTACAAAATGTTTTTCTAGCCCTACTTAGAAAAGGCTCCTTCAGATTTAATTCCAAAGGTACACATATGTATCTGAGCTAGTTTCACATACTTTAGTCAAGGTCTTTTCCTAAAACAAGTATGCTGTTCTGGACTTCTACGGCCTACCTGGCTGGAATATCAGAAATCTTCACAACCCACCCTTGACAAGACCTATATAGACCAGACAGCCCTGACCAGGTGACATTTGCCTGAACAGTAGGTATTTACGTTACTGTGATTGTATCTCAACAGAGCAGTGAATTTAATCTTTTGTGATATTGTAGCTGTGTAAATTCCTTACATTAGAAGTGTGCTAGGATTTCAGACATGAAGCAACATTTTAGCTCTTATTTACCTTTTGAGTATTGCAATATCCTTTCAACCAGAACAGGGTATTTGGTGATTCGCTGGGTGACGAGCAAAATGCATTCAGGGATTCCTCGGCGTCGTGCCAACAGGTTGCTATTTCTCAGCTGCACAGATGTAAATATATACCTTAGGTAGTAAAGGCATATTAAACCACCAATTGACTAATAAGAAATATGATCTAAAAGCATTAGAGTAAGTTAAAACAAATGCTGGGTAATTGGAACCATCCCCAAGGAACAGTTGCTGTGCTGAGGGATGAGGCGTACTGTAACAGGAACACGTGTGTAATACACACTGGATGCCAAAGCATTCTAAAATTTGAAAGAAAACTGTGATTTATCAGCTCACTAGTTAAGGAGAAAAAATTTTTGCCATTTTTATTAGCCATTTAAAGTGCGTTACAGAATATAATTCCAACCCTAAATCTAAGTAATAGTTATGTACCTTTTCCTGAGCATTTTGTCAATAGTGCTTATGATTCCACATTAACTTACTTTAATAAAATTCTGGAACTTCTTGTTTTGTTGCAGCTCTTTGAAGAGATTAACAGCTTCTTTCTGATGGCTACAAAACTCTCCGTATATTTTCTCCATTTTAGTTGCATTTTCCTCTGAAAACTGAATAAATTAATAAGTGAATTGTGCTCAGCATTCTATCTGACAGGAAAGTGTGTACCTTTAACTAGTGAATTTTGTATGAATAGCGAACTTTTACATTACATGGTTTATCAAGTTCTCTGAATTTCACTAACAAGGCCTGTCACTACAGAATGAAAATAGGCTAGCTGTTTTTAGGAGCAAGAAGATGAACACAAGCTGGAGAGAGCACAAGCAACCTCCACTGTACTCTTGCCAGTAACAGCTAGAACATTATAATGGCATTTCCTTCACCTCTTTTCAAACACAACCCTCTGAGGTTCATTTACTTTTGTCTGATCTCCACATTGCTTCTAGACAAAGTAACATCTCAGCTCTTTATTTCAGTGGAGTGAAAAAAGACTGTCAGAAGGAGAAAAGCTACACCTCCCTTTCACAAGGAAGTGAGATGTGAATGTCAAGCCATCAGTTAGCTATTCTTTGGCCACAGGAAACACCTTGCAACCACACCTTCCCTACTGAGCAGTATCCTAGGACATAACTGATCTGGGATGCCAGATTACTACAAGAAATTAACAGGTAGTTTCCTTTCCATCATCAGTTCTTCACATCTCTCCTCAGCTGACAAAGTGAATCCATTACTTCCATTTTTTGCAGTTCTTAGTATGACAGCAGCCTTCTACTGCAAACACGTCCAAGTTCATCACTTCCCTTGTCACTCATACCACACAGGGAGAAATCCACCCCAAGTTCACCCCAGTTACCTGACAATAATGATATTTTTTTGCATTGCTATTTCATCCTTAAATAATCAGGAAGGACAGGTTTTGAATCTTTTTGAGGCAACCATAATTGTCTTCTTGCCCACAGAAGTTTTGGAGTTAAAAAATTGTTTAAATTTGAAACCCTGAGCACTTAAAGGATTAAGAGAACTGATGCTTCTACCTGCTGCACAAGGATGTCTCCAATTCTGCTGATGACAAAATTGCGCTCACTCCCTGCCATGCATGATTCCTGCCGCCTGTCCTTCATTCTGCAGAAGAATTGCCTGTGCACCTCCAGTAGCTCATCTAAGCAGGGGAATATTCTGTCCACCATGGTGTGGTCAAGCTGCAGTTCTTCCTTCATCCCTTTCCTGAATACTTCAGACATAATGAACAGGGTATGGATGTGATGTACTTCTGTTTGCATCAGCTCTGTGGTATAAAAGAAAAAAGGATAGTGTAGTAATCACCTGAATATTCTGCACACCTTATAAGGCAGAATTTAGTCTATCAAATACACAGTCATAATTCTTTTTTCGGTGTGAGCCTCAAACTTAATCGTTTATGTCACTCAGAAGACTTAATTTATCTGGCTCTGACACAATTCTCTCTGTATCTCACTGAACAAGCTTGCGCTGAGGATTGGATGAGGCCCCTTCCAATTTCAACTATTCTGTGAACAGGCTAGGTATGTCTCTGGTAGCCACTACTATCAATTTCCTTAATTTAGGAGACATCGTACTTTGTGATAAAAATGTTCTTTGAACCTTCTTGTTGTTTTGAGTTGAAGCATTCATTCTTCTGGCCAAAAACCATGCAGGTTCCCTCTCTATTTGATACATCAGCTTTGAAAATACTGACCAAATATGACATCCTGCCGCTTGACGACATCCTTTTCTTGCTTGCTACAGAACACTGGATCCACAACAAGACTCCAGGAGTCTGCCTCAAATTCTTCTGCATCTGTGCAGAGATCAGTCCACTGAGACAAATCCACATCATCTATGACAAAATTTATATTTCTTTAACATCACATATATAAAGAGTAAGGGAAGTCCCTTGGTACATGCAGATCTATTCATATAGCAAGGGGAACACATCACAGAGATGAACTATAGGTAAGACTTCTGCAAACGCTGGCACTGTCTTTACTACAGCAAAGTTTGCCAGATATGAATATTATTACCAGTGTTGAATTGCTTTTGTGACAGAAGGGGAGGAGAATAGATGAAAAACACTCTTCTTTCCTCAAATTAAATCCTTTTTATAACTCTTTGCTTGAAGAAACGTTTTAAAATTTAAAAATAAAATTCAGTATTTCCAATAGCAGATGTCCAGTGAACAGTATGTGCACCACTCTATGTGGGTGAAAGCCCTTCAGCTTTCAAATTCAGTCTCTCACACCTAGCTACAGAAAAATCTATTTCCATTTGCTTCACAAGGCTATGCAGCTATTGTAAGAGCACCAGTAGGAGTTAAGAACTTGGGCTACTGAGGAAATACAAGTGTTGCAGGTTTACAATTTGCAGTAGACATGGTCAACAGAGTCGACTGGATGAGCGCAAAAGAAAAGTGTATTACTGTTCTGTTTCTGCAAGGATGCCAGTACATTTATCCCTGTTACTTTAAAATGGTAATAACATACTAAAATATTCCAAAAGTTATAAAATAGTTACAAGGAAGAAAGGAAAAGTTCTCTTTTAAGACTAACGTGTTAAATTTCATCATTTTAAAGAGGGATGCAACTGTAATTATCAAAAACAAGTGCTCTTCTTTGAGAAGATGAAGTGTCTTCCTAAATCAGCTAAGGAGTTTTTCTGGTTTTCACTTTCCAATACTAGCTATAAGATGCAACATCGTGCAATATTCTCACCTTCCATCATAAAAGCATCCATTGAAGAAAAGGTCCCTAATGCTTGTAACATCTCTTCAGACTGTGACTTGGACTTCCAGGTGCTAGTCTCAGAGTCTTGTCCAGAAAATTGTGTAGCTCTTCTAGAGCAGAAATTAAAAAAAAAAAAAAAATAAAAACAACCGCATTTATTTCATGGTTTAAATCTTCCTAGAAATCCTGAAGGATATATTTAGCATGGTCCATCCGCAACTGCCCCTCTACCTTTCCAAACTCGCACTGGGGACACTTTTGGACAAGAGGTAGGGCTGTTGTGAGGCTTCCCTCTTTCCAGGAGACAGTCCAATAGGCACAGAGAAAGAAGGATGCACTGAGGACAGCACCATCTGTGAAATGTCTCCAGGCAGGGAATCTGTGAGGCAAAGCACAATACAACATTTTGACAAACAATGAGTTTATCATTGTTTGACAGAGTATGTCATCAACAGCACTCTTATACTGAGAAATGATATCTGGTGTTCATATTGACCCACATCAGGCATCAAGAATGCCTACTTCCCAAGGTACATGACCACAATGCTCTCTCACAGACTGTAAAAAAAGCCTGTAGGCAATGTGGAATAGCCTCAGTGTGGCTATAATTTGATAAGGAAATAATCTCAAATCATACATGCTCTATAGGTGTGCAAATACTTGTGCACAAGATAAATGACATAGACAGAACTAACTACATTTTTTTTTGTTTTCACTGAAAATATAGTAAGTTCACACTCATTTTAGTAGAAGATTAGTTATTTCAACAGTGATCTCTCAAAAAAAATCCATTCATTAGAAACACATACCCTTTCTTACAGGTACTGAAACAAAACTTAAAAACAGAGAAATTACATGGAAAAGTTCATGCTGTCAGTCCCATGATTTTTAATCAAGGCCTACCTTAGAAATGCTAGGTTTATACCTAACTTACTTGTTACACCAACTTGGAGCTTGTTTTTATTATGGTATTTCTCCTGGGATTTCTGAAAAAAAAATTTTTTGAAATCACATAGCTGATAATATACTTAACAGTCAAGTCAGTAACTCATTCACATATACCATCACACGAAGGGCTAAAAGAAAGAGGTCCTAAATTATGGTACTAATTCCTTCCAATAACTAATTTTATTAGTTATTGGTAGATAATTATATTCAAAGTAGAATATTATTTGTACTACGATACAAAACTATTTCTTCTAAGCAGAATGCGTTACAACATTCACCTTTCTCTATATGAGTATTGCCTGCAAAGGCTGCACAAAAAGTGTACATTCAGGGCTTTATACTCAAATAAGATCAAAGCATTTGTGGTAGTACACTATCTGAAGCATGGGTACCAATGGCAGAACCACTCCCCCTTCCAAAGTGGAATTTTGCAAAATCTGTACCAAAAGCCTGCTGTACTTGGGCATATACTTCAGGTGAGTCAGTGAACATTTCCTGCACTGCATTCTTGCTTTGAGGGCTCTCGTGTCCTCTTGCAAGTAACCCACCATTCCCTAGGAATGCAAGCTGTCAGTTCAGCAGTCTTAATGCCTAAAGTTTCTCAGAAATTAGTGCAAGACCATGATGTGAAAATTATAAACAAAATTACACCCACTTGATTTATGTACAGTTTAAGGCTTGTTTATGCTAAAGAATCAGTATGGAATCATGCTGTCCTTGAAAGACACCATGATGCAAAACACAGCTACACCAGAAAGACACGCTCCACAAATGTGAAAAATGACCTGCATCATTGTGGCACATTTTTCTTCAAGTCTCATTTTATTTCTTGAGGGCAGTAGCCTTATACATCTGGTTTTCAAGATTAAGCCTTTGTTAAGATAATGTCTCCATGCATGCATTCCTTCTTAACCGTTAAGGTAGTATCCACCCGCTCTAGTGCTGGTTTTGCCCTGCTCAGAAGTGTTATATGTATTATGGTAATTCGTGCTGGTAGAGAATATACATATAAATGCAAGAAATATGTCTAAGATATAAAAACCTCAAAATCACACTAGCAGGGGAAAAAGGGAGTTGCTTCACAGGGTGATGAAATCGCAGCTGGCAGCTGAGGAGGAGGTGTGTCATTAACATTCGAAGTGAACCTAGCCCATGAGATGGTTGTTCTCACTGGTATGAACAGGAGGATGCCCAGCGATGATGGCCCATGAAGGTTTTCATCTTAGATAAACGGGGCCATCAGGGACATACATCTGAATGTGGGATTCCGGGAACCGAAGAATGGACACATATCGCTTCTCAACAGGGTTTTGTCCAGCACAGGACAGAGAATGGAAGCAACATGAATATGGAGAACCCAGAAAGGAGACAAAGAGACTCCTGAGCGGTCTAGAAAAAGGGTATAAGAACGGGCTCTGGCAAGTAGCATTGTGAGGGATTCAGTGCCATAGAGGCCGGAGCTGTGTTCTCCCAGCTTTGATCCCCGGGTCGGTGCTGTTCCTTGATTGTTGGCTGTCGGGACTGTATATCAGTCTTGAAATAAATTCTATTTTTATTTTTATTAAATTGGCTGGATCAATTTTTACCTATAACAGAAGCATCTGAACACTGGGAATAATTGCCTAGGCAGGCAGCTGCGGAGTCTCCTCCTCCAGAGATTTCCCAGAATGGGTGAAACAAACATCTGCCCAAATTGTTACCTAGAAGTGAGCCAGCCCAAGGGTGAGGAGGTAGATAAGGTCACCTGCCAGAGCCCCTTCCATCTCTGCTTGCCATTATTCCAAACATACGGAATCCCCCCAGTACACGAGGGTTCTTTCTCTCTGAGGTTTTGAGAAGCCTTTCTTTTCAATCTGTTCTGTAACCCTCCAGGCACACCATTTCACAGTCTGAGCTTGCAACCCTTCAAAAACATAAATACTTCTTGAAACTTGTTTTTGATCCCCTTCTAAAAACTGTTATTCAATTAATTAATTGTTATTCAATTATTAAAGAGTGTTAGCTCTGTTGCTCACATTAGCCATTCTGACACCCTCGCAGCCCCTCGCACACAGACACTGAGTCTGGGCAGCCTGTATTTTCTTTTTAAATTCATTGTTTCCAGCCCCTTGGAAAGCAAGTATCCTCTAGGAAGATCAGTGTAGGAGGTTACCTTGGTGCACACAGGAGCACACTCCTTGCAGCTTTTATGCACAGTCACGCTGCAATCTGAAAAGAGAAGGTATGTTTCAAAGCCTGGCACCAAACAGGGTCCCAGTCTGCAGAAAATGTACTCCGAGGCTTCAGTTTTCCCTCTTTCAGGTGTGATCCTTGGGATTCTTTGATTACAGATACAGGCTAGAAGGGAGTTTCTGCCTAATGTGCAAGGGCTAGGAGATCAACGATTCTTTCTGAATGTGTTACCTGCTGTACTTCTTCCCTCTCCCTTTTCAACCTCAGCTCATTACATAAAACAGGTACATCCAAATGATGACAAGGTTTCAAACAGCACACTGAACTAGGACGTCAGAACAGTATTCAGAGCACTTTAAATCCACAAGTAAAAGCCAGCAGCTACTTACAAGAACACTGCAGTGATTCCTTTCCTAGGAGGGCCTTTTCACAGACCATGCATGGGATAACTCCTGGGAAAGTCCCATTTGTAAAATTGTGCCTGGTTGGTTTCTCCTTATCTTTGGTGTCTTTATTTTTTGTCTTCATCCCCAAAAGCAGATGTAGGAAAATAAATAATCAAATAAATAAATAAATAAAGTTATTCCACCTTAAAAACAATAAAATATTCCCTTACAAAACCAAATTATTCTAGAATGTTTAATCCCTGTACTGTAAGACCTGCAACAGCATACTGTACTCTTACACCCAATATTGCTGAAGCCCTAAAATCATATAGGCATTGTTTTTACTGGCAGCTAGGCCTGAAAGTATTATCAAGGAAGATTGGCAGAAATACATTTAGCAATCTAAAAAAAGGGGAGGGACAGGAAACAGAATTTTAGAAGTGTTGTTCATTCACTGTATACACTGTATATATCCTCTACATGTGTACATCTCATGCCTCTGCAAATAGAGGTGCAATTATGCAAATTTTAAAAAGTTATCCTTAGATCTTAGAAGACATTAGAAACATTCTAATTTTAATGAGCAGTAAAAAATTTAATAAATTCTGTCTATTTTTCCAGTACCCTTGTTGGCATAACTACACATATAGCTTATAGTTACTGACTCTCATACTTTAAGAGCGCACACAGACAGAAGCTGCACAACCAGACATACACGTTCACAAGCTCATGGTCAGTTCTGACACTCTTGAAGGTGCTGCCTCAGACAAACACCTTCACATCCATGTAGTTAGGATGTCCTGGGGCACAGGAGGGCATACTAGGGAGCCTGCAAACTGTCAAAAGGCCACCCAGAAAGAGCCTGTAGGCCAAGCCTGTCTTTCAAGCTGCTAACTGATGCCATTAATCTAAAATTAAGGTGTCTTACAATTAAACTACAATGTTGTAATCTATCTTCTGTAGTAGATCTGTTTGACTGTGCAGGCTTCAGTTCTCAAACTCTTTAACACTATGACGTCTTTACTTATGCAAGAATTCCCATTAACGTCAAATAAGGCAAATTCAACTAATTACATCCTAATGTAGAAGTTTACATATTCAATTACTTTTTCAGAACAATTCCAAGAACAGGCCCATCTCTCTTAAATTTATTGAACAAAGAAAATATTTCTTAAATGTAATTCATACATTTAAATATTGGCTAAATCACCAAACAGAATTACTAATGACATCAAAGGAAAGCTGGTTTTTAATACAAAGGCCATTTCAGGGTAACTTGCACGTGTTTAAAATTAAAAAAAAAGAAAAGTGAAAAGAGTCTTCCTACAACTTTTGTGGTTTTGTGATAAACAATTTATCTTTACATGAAAAAATAGCTTCAATCTACAATTCATTTAATTACAGTGACATAATCATACATAATAATATGGACATAAATCCCATATTACCTTGCCTTTATTCCGTGTGCTGGTCATCCTGTTCATCAGAAAGCTGAAAGTCCGACTCACTTTATATTTTTCAGACTCATTTTTTGAGGGTACAACATACTTATTCCATACCTCTTCCTGAATCCTAAAACAGAAACCAGTGAAAAAAGTTCCTCATTTCAGTGGCAACACTCCTTTAATTAACATATAGCAGAATCTGGACAGTGCTTGTTTCACCTAACATTTACAATTACATGCTTTGTTGTGGGTTTAACACATTATGAAAAAGATTGCTATCCCTGCACAAAAAGAAGAAACACATGCCAAAAAGCACTTTGCATGTGCAATGTGTAACAAGCTTGCCTAGATTACAGTTGGTATCAAAAGCTCCCCTGCTTTTACTGAAGTGGTTTGTACATTCCTACAGTGGACAGGAGCCCCAGCAGCAGGCAGCAGCCCATCCCTACTTTGCACATCCCAGCAAATCCCCGCTGCAGGATGTGTGTGGTGACAGCTGGGTTGAGCTTGGCACACAGTTTAGCATGAGTTCACATAAGCCAGGTGTCTCTACGCCACTGCTCAAAGCCCACGTGGAAGGTCTCTTCCCCACACGGCTCCCTAGATGGCATTCTTGCACAGACCTGCTCCCGGCTCTCCGTGACACACACCCTACCTTTGCTCCCGGGACTGCTCGGGAAGGCTGCACGCTGGCTCTGCAAGACACAAACAGCCACAGGGCACTCAGACTGCAAGGTCATCAGGCTTGTCTGAAACTCACGACCTCCACCAAGCCATAAGTCTACCATTAACTGTTTGCAATGTCATTTGAAAATTAGGAAGGAAAAAACATACATTCATTAGAAACAGTTTCTTCTAGGTTAAGACCACTTCCTACTAAGCTTTTAGTTGAAGGTTCTGACAGAACTGAGAAGGGTATCACTGAATGCCAGTCTCTGCAAACAGTCTGTTTTTAAGAACAGCAAAAATATTTATTTTGTTTTTCTTAACAACATAGACTTGAATGACTCTCCTTTCATTTTGCTTTTTATATAATTTGCTATAAAATATCTTAATGGCATTCTTCTAACATTTGCAGTTACACATCTTATGCAGCTTTATAAAAAAGATTAAATCCTTCTACACAAAGAGGAATACTGCTGCCTAGGATGTTTAATGTGCTACAAATTTGTATCTTCTACGATCCTATAAACAGACGACCCCAGGAGATACTTTTCACAAGCTCTCTAAAAAGCAAAATAAAATATAAACAACTCAGTTGGGTTGTTTTGGAAGAAAAATAAGCCCAAAACTGTAGAGAACACTACCGTTTTCAAATTAAAAGCCACTTCCCCTTTGCAGACATTTTTAGCAAAGCTGCCACAGGTATGGTTCAGAAAGGTAAGTGCCTGCCTAAGTCAAAGCACCAGACTATGCTTTCTTTGAAGTTAGATACAGGCTTAAACACCCTTTGCTGAATCCACATCTCTTCAGACAAATGGAGACCTAGAATAGCAAGACCTAGAATATTTACCAAAGAGGCAGCAGAACAAAAAGGGCATTTCAGTTAGTTGTCAGGCATAACCTGTGTCACAGAATGCTTCTGTAAGAAACCAACACCATGTATCCATAGGAGATGAAGACAGTCTCATGCAAAACAGCACCATGGAGCTGAGACACTGACTTAGAGAGTGCAAAGGCCTGGAGGAGGAACCACTGTGCACGAGCACACCATCTACAGAGCAGGCACAAATCCTTTACTGTTAAAGCCTGGTAATACCCTTTCAAATAAAGGCAGGTAGTATGGTTTAAACCTGAGCATATTTTAAAGTTTCCACAAGAAAAGGATGGTGTTTTGCCTCTTTTTTTCTCATATTTTGTGCTGGAAAAAAAACATCCTGTTGTCATTCTGAATTCATCTGCTTTGACTTAGATTATTTTGCAATGTGCAAGGGCAAATGCACCTCCTTCTTGCATAGCTAAACCCTAAGCAAGATGTCCAAAGTGTTGGTAGCTAGGCAGAGGTGAAGGGGGAGGTCTTCCATGTACAGACTCCTCCACAGGCCCAGACATAATCCTGCTACAGTCCACAGAGATCAGGATGAACTATCTGAGCCAGCTTCTTGGACCAAGCTCCTGGGCTAGCCCCATACCCACATAAAACTGCTCAAAGTGAGCACAGGTGTGCCTGCCTCACACAATAATCACCACTGCCAGCTGCCAAACACTGTGTTCAATGCTCCCTTCCTTGCAAAATGCTGGCAAAAAGAGGCACAATGCACGAAGTGCTGGTGGAAGGAAGTCCCAGCAGGAAGCTCAGCATACCACCACCCTCCCTCCCAGCATTACACCACACCTGTAGTGCAGGCATAGAACACCCTGCTTCTAAAGTCTGGACAAGAATGGGTTTTCACCTTCTCCACAAGACATGTCAAGGTCCAACAATGACTGCCCCAGAAGGAAGGGGAGAAAGAATGAAAAGGAAGCAGACCCAAGCCCATACCAAGTCAGGGCAAGTAATGGTGTCTGGGTGAAACTTAAGGGGCTGTGACACCAACAAAGTCCCTTAGCTGCAATGTCAAAGGAATTCTGTTTTAAGTATGACACAGGGCTTTACTATTCTGCTAGCTTTCAATTTTGTGACATGCTCCTAGCTTTTTCTTCTGCCTTGTTTTTTTCTAAGACTTCTCACCTAAAGTGTTGAATATAAATGCTTACAAATACTTTAGGAGATGGAGAAAATACAACACATCTGCATGCTGCAGGCTGCAATACTTACTCCTCCTTACAAGATGACATGAAATCATACAGTGAATTTGAGTAACATCAAAGAAGTTATTTGCTGCACTGCTTAATTCAGTTTTTTAGGAAAAAAGAAGCCTGCAGACATTGTATCTCTCACCCTCACAACAGTCTTTGAAGTTGTTAAATGCTTTCGAAGTTAATGATAACATTTTCAGAATTTTTGTATGTTTCATTCACATTGAATGTCAAAGAATCAGAGTGGTTAGGGTTAGAAAGGATCTCAAACATCACTGGAGTACTGAGGGAGCTGGCAGAAGAGCTTGCCAAGCCACTCTGCATCACTTACCAGTTCCAGTTAACCAGGGACACCCCAGATAACTGGAGATTTACAAGTGTGGTGCCCACCTACAAGAAAGGTCAGAAGGAGGATCGGGGGAACTACGGCCTGTCTGCCACACCTTGGTGACCAACCTCAGTGCTGGGGAAGGTTATGGAACAGAGTATATTGAGTGTGATGACTGGAACATACAGGACAGCCAGGGAATCAGACCCAGCCAGCACTTCCTGAAGAAGTTGGCAGGTCATGGCTTGGACAGGTGCACTCCACTGGATAAAAAACTGTCTCAATGGCTGGGTCCAGAAAGTGGTGGTGAACAGACTTATATCCAGTTTTGAGTCTGTCAGCAACACTGTTCCTTAGAGGGCAGCACTGATGCTAATCGTGTTTAGTACCTTAAACACTGATCTGGGTGAGGACATCGACTGCACCCTCAGTCAGCTCACAGATGTCACAAGCTGGGTGGGAGTGCTGATCTGCTGGAGGGCAGGAAGGCTCTGCAGAGGGATCTGGACAGGCTGGATCATGGCTGAGGCCAGTGGTGTGAGGTTCAGCAAGGCCCAGTGCTGGGTCCTGCCCTGGGGTCACAACAACCCCAGGCAGTGCCACGGGCTGGGGCACAGTGGCTGGAAAGGACCTGGAGGTGCTGCTGACAGCGGCTGAACACGAGCCAGGGAGTGCCCAGGTGGCCAAGAAGGCCAATGGCATCCTGGCCTGGACCAGCAGTGGTGTGGCCAGCAGGAGCAGGGCAGGCATTGTCCCCCTGTACTCAGAATGGGTGAGACCACACCTCAAATCCTGTATTGAGTTTTAGGCCCCTCACTCCAAGGACACTGAAGTGCTTGAGCATGTCCAGAGAAGGGCAACAGAGCTGGTGAAGGGTCTAGGGAGTAAGTCCTGTGAGGAGCAGCTGAGGCAGCTGGGGCTGTTCAGCCTGGAGAAAAGGAGGCTCAGAGATGACCTTCTCCTCTCTACAACTGCCTGAAAGGAGTGTGCAGCAAGCTGGGGGTCAGCCTGTTCTCCAAGTCAACAAGTGACAGCACAAGAGAACTGCTCAAACTGCTCCAAGGGAGGTTCAGGTTGGACATCAGAAAGAATATCTCATTGAATGGGTAGACACTGGAGTAATTTCCAACCTTAATTACATTATTCTAACTAATTCCAACCCCTCTGCCGCAGGCAGAGATGCCACGCCTTAGACGAGGTTGCTCAAAGCCCCATTCAACCTGGCCTTGAACATTTCCAATGATACAGCATCCCAAACTTCTCCAGGTGTCCAATCCATTTTGTTCATTGTGGCTCACATGTCCTGTCTCTTGCCCTGGACTAGTGCAAAACTGAAGGTATATTGGAGTGATAAACAAGCTGGAAGTATGGCAATGGATAGGCTTACTGATACAGAGGTGAAATGAAATGCAGGTGCTTTTTAAGTGATTTGAGCTGTATGAAAAGCGCAGTGTATGTATCTCACACTTTGCATGGTTTTTAAATATAATCCATATCCTCACTGAGAAAAGTGTGTGTTGTCTTCTAAATATGAAACTATGTGTCTGGAAATAAAGCATGTCAGAAGCAAGTCATAAAAAATTACAAGCTTCTTGCAGAGACATCTCTGACTCCACTTGATGAAGTGGGTGGGTTTTGCTTCCCAGCCTGTAGAGATACCACAGTCCACCTGTGTTTCATAGATTGCTTAGGATCTTTGGGAAGCTGGAACCATCTGTCCTCTTTGATGCCTCTTCTGTGTCATTCTGAGCTTCCTCCTGGTCTCTGTCACACACTTAGCAGGAGGCTAGGGTAAGGATCTTCCAATAAGAGGATTACTGCCCTTGTCTACATGCGTTTTTGTGGCTATTGCTCTCTCCCTTTGTATGCCCTGTCAAGGACAGTCGCTGTATCATGGGCATGATGGGAGTATGATGGGGCTGTAGGTGGGGGAAAATTGAGGGATGATGGTAGGGCTACCATCTAGTAGCTACTATTAGCCATGAAGGCTACCAAACACACACACTGGTGAGCTCTGTAAAGTAACATCATCAGCACTGGGCCTGAAGCAGGCAGGTATTGAATAATGCAAAGCCAGAGAACTGACCTCCATTTGAATCCCCAACTGCAAAGTCACGAGAAATGCGAGGTCTTCCCACCAAACCTTTGGATGAGGAGTAGGAATAGGAGCGTGACCGAATCCCAAACACTGTGCATTCCTATGAGAAATTGCAGCAAATGAAATCTTGTGTCATTTTGAAATGCATCAGCAACAGAAACAAAATAAATCAGGAACAACTGACTACTCACATAAATTTTCTTGGCTTCAAGCTGAATTTTTAACAACTTCATGTGAATTCTTAGGAAGTCTGTCATACTTCTACAATGATAAATTTTTTATGCTACAGGAAATAAGTTGTGGGTGCAAGTTAGACTAAGAGAATAAAAGAAAGCTTACATTCTTCTCCAATTTGGTAACAGGCGACATCCACACACTATTTTTGGCCATTATTTCTGATGACCAAGCTACCTTCTTTTACCAAGGAAGGCATTAATCTTAGTACCTTAATACTTGAAGAACATTTCATGGAGACTTTGGCCATGCCTTAGTAATTACTGATGTCAGAGTTTCCAAAAAAGGAGTTTTTTCCTCTTTTTTTTTCCCCTCTCTGTTGTTTTTGCTTTTTTAATCATTATTATATTTGAAAACATTTTCCAGTTACCAAATATCTTAAAAATAAGACCTGAAAGGAAACCCCCTAATTTTTGATACATCATTTACACTTAAATAGAGAATATTCCTAAAACTCCTGTAAAGTGCTTACTTTATTGTTTTTTGAAGTAGACCTACCATATTTAATGTTTTTGCTGAACTCTTTTTCTCCCTTCATAAAATCATTTGCTGAAGGTCAGATAAAGTTCTACAGTGGCAACAAATGCATCTAAAAAATCATAAAGAATCTCCGCAAATAAGAAATAACTCTGTGTATGTGTCTGAAGATCTCAGAAATGGCACCATGGTCTAATGAAAATTAATGTAGACAGGATACTTCAGAAAACCACAACAAAGAGATTTACATCGATCAATGACACCCCAACTGAATTTCCCTGAGTGTAGAAATTGTTTCAAAACAGGCAGCAGGCCAGTTTTACACTTTACAAAACATTACTCTCTCACATAACTAGAGCTGGTTAAACATTTTCTCACTAAATAAATATTTTGGTTAAAAAATGCTGATTCACTGAACCTGAACTATTTCCTTTGAAACACTTCTGATAGATGGTGTGTTTTTTAAAGCTGAGGCAAATCTCTTTCTTTCTATGGCAGCTGCCCAGCCCAGCACACCCAGGGAGCTTCAGCTTCACTCAATGTGAGTAGTCCCTTGAGAGACTAGCACTGCCAACTGGGAACTCATCTTTCTCCTTCAGATTCAGACATTTCTTGCATAGTTTCAATGATTTGATTAAAAGGAAAACAATTCAAACCAAGACAGGGTCAAATACCTTAGGCTGCAGACTGGTAGGTAGATCCAATCCATCTCTGCTAGAAGCCATGGCCTCTGAAGAGCTGAGGGGACAGTAGTGAACATGGGATCTGTCCGACACACCACCACCATTGTCTACTTCAAGGTCATCGAGACTTGAACTGGAGAAGACAACAAAGTCTTTAACTTGCCTGAATTCCTTATAGCAATTTGCTTCAACCTTGATGCAATAAACAAAGATATGGCTGAATACTCTGACTAATGACAGCCCAAACCACCATTATGTCAGGCAAACCATGCCCTGAGGTGCCTCTCAGGTCTGCAGCCAACTGGTCAAGGTAGTCAGTTTCCCTGTCCAGGACCCCCTGACACAGTCTTGCAGATCTGCAGTGCAGGTATATGCATCACCCATGATCACACACACTCCCACCACAGCCAGCCACCTCTGGATCATGAGTTTTAGACACATGTTCAGCATCTCCCGAAAAATAGATCTTTTGTTCCAGGCATAAACCTGTCTCATTTCAAAGAACATAAAGAGAACTGAGACAATAAGGGGACTGAGAGAACTACCTCAGATTTCAGCATATGTGAGTATAGATGGATATTATGTGCATGTGTGTATTTGGAAGATACGAATGACATGGCTGTTAACAGACATATTTTTATCTACATCTGTGACTTCATGACAGAAGATGGAAGAGAAAAACACCAAGAATAGATTAAGGAGGGTCTTGAGATAGTTTATGAGGTTCAGTTCAAAAGATAGACATCTAAAAACATAGAGAGCAACAAGCAGACTGAAAAATCTCTGGCTAAATCAATATGTCAATATGTGTAGAGACTATTTTATTGGAAAGGGTTCCTGAGCAGGAGAGTGCACTGAGGTTGCTCAGCAGTATCAGAGTTTCCCAGGATGAGGCTGTTACCTGCAAGAGAAAGTTCATGGTCTCTTCATCAGAGTGTTTGAAAGGAATGGTTGACTGCTTGCAATAGCATTCCAGCCTTACAACATAAAACTTTAAATTATGTGTGGTATTTCTAAATGGCCAGAGTTCCTACCAGGGATAAGAGCACAAAAATTCCTTCACACACCAGTACTTTTTTGAAGCACAAATCTATCGCTACTGTCTGAAACTACTTCCTTATTATAATTCTCGGGACAATATTTTGCAATGTTTCCAAATAATAGCCCACATGTCATCTCAGAAACAACTTATATAAATGCATTATCAGTTACTGTCACACGTTAAAACTGAAAAAGCAGTACATGTCTATGTCAACAGAAAAGTATCCATGACTTACTGTGGTAATTCTCTAGGGAACTTCTCTGACATATGAAGCTGGTTTAAAAATAGAATTACATACTACTAGTCTTATTTTGCCTAATATTTGAATCAATTACATATGTCATATGACATATTAAGGCAAAGGACATGTCTCTGAAAATTTATATACACTCTCATACAGGTGTATATATTTATATACAGTTCTCACACAGGTACCTAACCAAGATCTTAAAAAGGGTGGGGCTATCTACAAATACATAGGATAAAAATGTTTCTAACTAGAGGCACAGGAATATTGTGGTATTCTACATGACATCCCTATAGCTAGCAAGAAAAAAAGCAAACAAAAAAACCATCTCAAACAACAACAAACACCAAAAAAAGGAGTGTGAAAAGAAAAACTCTGTCTGACATTTACTATCTGTGTTAAATATTCCTGCTAGTGGGACTTCATAGTTGCATAAAAAAACTCAAAATTAAGGTAGAGAAAATCTTATTGCCCACTTTCAATAATAATTGGCTGGCTCTTCTCCTTCTTACTGTTTTTTACATAGATCTGATGCTCTACCTCCAACTAGTCCTAATACTCACCAAAAGGTGGGAGCAAGATTCAGATTTCCTCCTGCATGAGAAGGAATGTCATCTATTCAGAGAAGCAATAAAGCTTGTTCATCAAGAAAATTTATTGTTAAATTGTTTAATTTTTAAATTAGTTGTTAAAAACCTAAGTTTAATGATCAAAATTATAGTTCTATCTTCAAAGCTCTCTGCATTTCTGAAGCCATTTGGAGGAGGATCTTCAGACAAACGGCAGCAAACCTTGTGTACCAGCAATGGAGAAGAAAACAGTCTGCACCTGTCATAAACAGCAGCCACACTCTGGACTGTGTCTTTTGAGATAAATACCTACGCAATCAGGAGTAACAAGGTCCTTCTACACGCCTATTTAAAGACTTGAAAGATTCCTAGAGACTCCAACAGATTGTGGACTATTTTCTTAATGGAAAATATAACTGAGGAAAAACACAGTGAAATTCTGTTATCTGTCAAAATCATCACAATGGCAGTGACAGTGAAGAGCTGATCCTTTTTTTTATTTTGTTAAGAGTATTTGCATACAAGAAATAAAGGTATAAAAGTATCCATTTGCATTCAAGATACATTACTAAGAAGATACTTTTATGCGTTAAAAATGTCTTCACAGCTATTTTATGAAAACTGATTATTAGGACAATAAATATTAGTGAAGAAAAACTGAGATTTCAACCCAATAATACTAGTTATTATTTCAGATTCTGCTTAGCTTTTTTAAACAAAAGGTGATAATAAATAATCCTTATTCTGGCCATGCCATCAAGTCAATTCCATACCTTCTTCTTTTCATGTCAGCAAAAAGTTGGCCCCGATCCTTAATAAATCCATGGGTCTTGAATGGAAGATATGAATCTGCTACATACAGATGAGAAGGTGAAATGGCATGTCTTAATCCTGTGTTTTCTTCTTTTTTTACTGGCCTTTGGTTTTCTTCATTTGGGAGATATGTAAATTGGTCATTCCCCTCAAGGGAGGGAGATGAAGAGCTCTTATCCATCAGGATTGAGTTGGTAGGGTTCAGACACATTTCACTGCTGACACCATCTCCATGAATGTAGCTAGTCTTTAAGTCTCCAGCCTGCAGGTGAAAAATGAGTGCTGGTAAGAAGCAACAACAAGACATATTGTCAGGAAACAAGGACCTGAGAAGTCTGCCATTTTATTTATGACTATATGTTTTGTGGGTTTTTTCCCTATTACTTTCTACACTGCATGAATTTAAGGCAATTTATATGACTAAGGAATTCTAGACTTTGCATTACTTTTTTCCCTAATTAGAGCAGCAATTAATTGGTATTTCCAAGTCTTCTGAATTTCTCACTCATATTTATACCTTTTATTAAATGCACTGATTCAAACATTTACAGATTTCATTAAAAACTACCCTGAAGTTGAGCAAAAAATATGCATAATACATTAGTGTGGGAGACATATGGAAGAGAACTCAAACATTCTGCAATTTAATTTGGAAAAATCAGCCTACACATCATGCACTTTTAATTTTTCAGCACCAGTTTCCTAAGCTTTTTGATAAATATACATGACCTGGAACAAGAGCTTCTCAAGGGCAGGAAGGGAAATTACTCTTACTTTTTGCCATTAAGCAGTTTGGGGCCTGAAGCACCTCTCCTTTTGCACAAAGACAGGAACAGATTTGGAAATTCTATTTTCTCAGGTACAGGGATCAGAATTTAGACTCTAGTCACAAATAATTCCCTGTTGACTGTGCAGAAGATACTAAAATACACTGTTAGTCTTTTAGCTAGAGGCAACAGCCATGTAATTAGATACTGAATAATATTGAAAAGTCACACTACCAGTTAAAACACTCAATCTCCAAAAAGCACCTGTATAAAAGCAAGAACAAAGGAAGGATTGCAAGCATCTTCAGAGCCCTGGTGTTTATGATTGCTCACTTCCTCTTTTCCAGTTCCTCTTGAGATGTGCTTTCATCCCCATCTTAATTATGCTTCTCTTAGTAAAGGACAGCAAGAACTGCTGGCATTTTTACAGCAGCCCACATTTACACTCAAAGATACAGCACATGCAAGTCTGGAAATACTTCTGTTGCGCTATGCAGATGACATGCACGAAGGTAAAATGCTTTTCCCAGGTATTGTGCAGCTGTTCCTCCCTGAAAGGTTATCCCTGTCTGGGCAATGTTCCTCCTCAGCACCAGAGGGACCTTCTCCAGCAGCCACTCTGGCTCCTGCTGAGTGGTGCTTAAGGGAGGATTTGGCCCCACTCAGCAATTTTAAGAAGTAGAATGTGGCCACATAGTGAGTAAAGGTTAGAAACCCAAGCTGAAGGCCCCCTGAGCAAGACACTTGGGTAACATTTCCATCCGTAATGGAGATGCAGTTCTGCAGCTCCGTCCTTCCAGATATTGTTCAAATCAAGGGTCCAAAGACTGCACTTTGTAGTCCCCTGGCAGTAGCTCACTCAGGCGTCATTATTACATACATTCATCTCTTACATTCATCTGTAATATATACCACAGATATATATATATACACTTTTTTATATATATATATATATATATATGTATATATATATATATATGTATGTAATATATAATATATCTCTTCAGTGCATTTGGAACACAAAAAAGCCTCTGACTTGAACTTCCATCTCAGCTGTCACATGAACTGGATCTGCAGTCAATGCACTGGGTGAAGTGTTTCAGGGAATGGGGTAGAGCTGGGCAGGAGGCAAAGAAAAGGGGGAAAAATCACACTTGCAAAATCTCAGACTTCTAACATTATCTAATAATTTCTTACTTTTATATTCCAACTTGCAGTCCAGGGAGAGCTCAAAGCAGCTTACAAATAAATAAACATCTTAAAGCATCACTGAAAAATAGCTACACACCACCAGAATCTGGCATCTCTCTGGCTAGACCCAGCCACCACACACAAGTTGTGACTAGTCAGACTCATGCCCAAGCCCTAAATCATGGTATCTGAGTGTGATCATGAAATAAGGATTCCAGGTGCAACACAGTGATGTAAAATGTCACTTTAGGTCATCTCCAGTGCTGGTGACAAATCAGAAATGGGAATTCTAGTGAGGATCTCCAGTATCAGAATGTTCCGAGACAGCTGTAGGACATCAACTTCACCTTTTCACCAATATCTTGTTCTTGTTGAGCCTGTAAGGCTCACTGTGAGCTTCCGTACTGTGAATGTACATAGAATTCAGAAATCTGAAATGCACACGAACAAGTAATATTGTAAAGAAGCACGTGCTGTTTAGCTCACGAACACACAGAAGAAATAGCCTGCCTTAGAGTACTTCCTGCAGGCTAGGGAGAGTAACTCCTATAATTACTGAATCTGTTAAAAGAGACCTCATATAAAGGTTGCAAAATATAGCTGAGAAGAGTAAGATATTACTGGTTTTAATTTAAAATTTTATTAATTGACAGCACTGCTGACAGATCCAAAAGATCCTACTATTATGCAACTAAATTAACAGAAAATGAAGAAAAATTAGACAGAAGTTCAAATATAAGCGTACTTGGTCTACTACCATGCAGTTTGCATATACTTCATCACTTCCACTCAGCATGGGAGAAAGTCTGGTTGCAGCAAAGAAAGTAGGGGTAGACTTCAATTTCCTAAGAACATCAAGGGTAGAGTGTCTGTGCTCTGGAAAACAAAAAGTATGGGAAATTTTCCATTAAATCTCAAACCATTTCCTTCTCATGTATATATACTACCATAAAAATGGCTAAGTTAAGCATTAAGAACCAAATCTTAGCATTACAATTTTAGTAATATTTGTGCGACCGCAGCAAAATGTGCTCATTTCATAACTGCCCAACATTTGCTACATGTTCCAGGAAACCTACAGCTGACCAGATTCTCAAGGGTACCACAGAATCATTCACATAAATAAAAAATAAATGCTCCTGTGTATTGGTTAGCAAAAGCTTCTATTTTCCACCTAAGTAGAACTTCACAGAGATTTGTGGTTGCAGAAGAACACAGGACAAGATTTATGGGCTGGGAAGAATTATGCATGGTTCTGCCTATACATTAAATACCTGACATCTGATACATTAAATAAATTAAATACTGTTCAATTGCAGTCAAATAATGATTCTCCTAAAGCATTCTACCTACTGGCAGCCACATAAATACTAAACTTAGACCAAGAAATCAGATTAACGTTCTTAAAACAAAAGCAAACAAACAAAAAAACCCAAAATTTAAAAAATAATTCAAAAGATATATAAATAAAATACCACTAATACTGCCTTTACAGAGTGACAGCAATCAAGATCCATGAAGAGGATGTTTAGGATGAATACTGCATCTGATCGGCTTTTGAACAGTTTCACCAGAAATCATTAACAGAAATCCAGAATTTAGTTTTCTAAAGTGTGCTCATGACTACAAATATTAAAAAAAAGCTGGATGGGCTGTGTATTTTATGTCTTTGAGCAGCAAAAATTCTGTCCTACACGCCCACTTCTCTTAAAACTGGCTATAAGATTGAAGAGCATGTACCAGTCCAGCATCTGAGCTGGGTTATTTCTGAATGCAAAACAAGCAAAATTTAACAAAGCACAAAACCAGGCTTGTTGTAGACTGTGTGAAAACAGTGGGAAAAAAAATCACAGTCACAACACAGTTTTCCTTCAAATGCTGTATGGCAAGCATTGTCATTGGAAGTGAATGAAGACACACGAGCCTAAGAATGATGTGATAGAGGAAACTATTGTACCCAGTAAAATATCCAAAATCAAACCACTCAATAAATTTGATTTGAGTTTGTCTGTTATTGAATATTATTTTTAAAATATTTTTATGCTGCATCAGAAATTTATTTTCTACAGAGGTGTAAAGGAAAATATACCACTAAAGACTTTCCTCACACTATATTGATATAGCAACATAACTGCTTTTGGAAGGTCACAAAGCCATATAGTATGGTTTGGGTTAAAAGAGAGGTTTAAAAATTATCTAGCCCAACCCCCTAGTCATGCCCAGGGACATCTTTCATTAGATCAGGTTGCTCAAAGCCCATCCAAGATGCTTATAGGAATCAGATTGCAAGAAAATTCATAATGAAAAAATACAACTGGATTAGAAACAACACTTACTAAGGTCTGGTGCAAAAGTCCCAGACCACTGCCAAATCTGCAATGATACACGACAACTTTTATTTAATTTTAAGATTCTATTTCATAAAGCCTAAGAACAGTAACCTCTATACTTAGAGAAAGATGGAAATTCCCATTTAGAAATGGCACAGTATGAATATTTGGTTTTGAGTCCTGGCAGGCCTTGGGATCTCATACCATTAAAACATCTTTACGCATCTCATTTTGTTTCTCCATCAATGCAAGAATTTTAACGATTTTAGTGACTCATATTGAGAACTGTTAAAGCTGCAAACCATTTCCTTTTGTCTGACAAGATCCCAAAGCCTTTGTTTATAAATAATATAAAAGCATTTTTTTCTACAGCAACTCATCAAACTCTTACAGCGCACATCATATGGAAATGTGATTTGGCAAAATTGACAAGTGACTTTCTTGTGGCAAATAAAGCTTTCCAAGGATTGGTCTTAAACCAACAACCAAGCAAAAAAGTGTCAGAGTCTCCATTGCTTCTTGTATGCTTAATGTCTTCCTCAGCCTGCACTCCATCTTGTATATAAACCCACTGGGTACAGCAGGCAAGGGTGGTGTACCTCTCCACTGTTAGGCTGACACAGGTTCAACACATACCCTCAAAAAACAGCCCAGGCATTAGGGATTCCCGCATCACAGTGTAAACCTGAGCCTAAGAAGTCAGTTTCTTGACTTCTGCAATAGTCCCTACTGGCGGGGTGCAGAAACCTCACAGATAAGGGGGCTGATGTGTATGTCCAATACACAGCAATAGACAGACAGCTGCGGAGCCAGCCAAGGATTGTCTGTAATAACATGCTGTTAGAAGGAACAGGATGTGGCTCAAGAGGTAGGGCAGCACTTTTCTGAGACAAATATCCTTCTTCTGGATCCTGGAGATAAGCACAGCACAATACAGCTCAAGTGCAGGAAGGAGGTAAAGAAGTAGGCATGGACTGTAGGGTAGGGGTCAAGACAATCCAAGACCCCCAAAGCCCTCTTACCCATTTCAAGAAAGATCCAGAAAAATGGACTGTGCGTGATAACTCATTTGTATAGAAAGCAAGAAACTTAGCTCCTGGGTGTGATAAAACTATCTAAATAAACATACTCCTCAAAAGCTGGGCTGTACATGAGCCCCATGTACTCTGGACACCCCTCTAGCTGGATTGACATTGAAGCCAGGACTGGTGATCTCCCTTTCTTTCTCTCTCCCCCTCTTTAGGTCATCTCCCTCTCTCTCTCCTCCCTTTCAACCCACCTCTTTACCAAAAACCCACTGCTGTGTGCTTACAGGAGGACATCAGGAGCTACCTTATATAACAATTTCCATGCCATGCTGTAATTTACTACTAAAATTTTGTAGGGTTTTGTGGGCTCTCTGACTTTTGCTATTCATTTTGACCATGAACATCTATGAGCATCTTGGGTGATCTCTTCCCCTTCAGGGTGGGATGTCACATGGGGTCTTCGCAGTCACTTAGTGGACTGCAACATCCCAAGCCAGAAAGAACCCAAATCCCCCTTCTAATAACACGTTACATTATTTTAAAATTCTGTACAAGAGTAAAAACCTAAGTAACAAATTCTGGAGAAAGATGCTGCAAGTACAAGCTCTAGCACAATACGCTACCTGCAGTATCTTCCGTCTGTAAACCCTTATTAATTACCCGTGTTAAATGCCATATGTTTTCCTGGAGATGCTCCAGTTAGCCTGTGGTTAAATGTGAGATGACTAAATAAATACTCATTGGGGTTTTAAGTGGTAACAAATTATTTCAGGCTTCATAGAATCATGGAATTATGTATGTTGGAAAAGACCTTCAAGATCATTGAGTGCAATGGCAGTATGACCCCACTGCACCTCTTTACTCCCACTCTGCTCCCTTGCCCCGTCAATTTCAAATGTGAAGAAATGACAACATCAAACTAACTTTGTAACATGAGAAGTTTAAAACCTTGCTGAACATGGGGGAGAGCAATATTAATTACACATTGACTGTGCTAGTAACTTATTTCCACTGGAAAGGCCCAAAAAGTTTAAAAAGTGACAAAATCATTGCTAATGTGCAAATCACACACTGCATTCCTACAGCTTCACTAACTGCCTCTGGCCTGCCTTGCTGGCTGCAAGTGCTCTAGATCTTAAAGAGACCATCAGCAGACCTTTCCCTCAAGGTTAACATGGCAGCAGGTAACAGCTCAGTGTACTGTGATTCTTCATCTTTCAGGCTGCACTTGCCTGAAAGATGAAGAATATCAACAAAATCCATTTTCACATAAAATGTCTCAAAAATCTCCCCTGGGCATTCAAAAAGGTTATTCACATTGCAGATGCAAAAATTCAGCATAGTGAAAAGACAGGACTGCCAGAGCAAACTGGCAAAGGTGTCCCCAGAAGGGTTTAGGTTCTGTAAGGTATTGGAAATGGATTTCAAGATGCTTACTAAAGTAAGAATGATCTGAATAGAACAGAGGAGAACTACCTTTGCTAGTGAAACAACCTAGCGAGCACAGCTCAACAAGCTAATCCTTCTGCCAGAACTGAACACCCTCTGGCTCTACACTGTGATCACAGAGAAAGAATAAAGACATGCTTCCTTTAGAAGACCCTACAGATCTCTGCCATCTGCCTGATAAACAGTCAAGATAGATGTACATGTTATTTAGATGTCATGCTGGAAAGAATAATCTCCAAACATGGGCAAAATAAAAGACCTGGATCAAAGACTAACTAGGCACAAGTTCTCTACATCTTCTCTAATATTATAGAGTAATACAGCCAGGTCTGTGTATTTTGCCAGCCAACAAGCTTATACAAATGCTATAACTTTAAAGAAACACATTATCATCATAGCAGTAATTAAAAACATGTTTTATGTTAGTGAAAGAAAATGTATAGCCTTGAATGGCCTGTGTCGGAAAATGGCAAGAACACAACACTGACTTTTTTAAAAATCAAAACTTAACTTGTTTCATGGGAGAACACACAGCAAAAGAGCAGTTAAATACTTCAACATGACCAAGCCAAGAACCAGGAAAGAAATTACAAATTCCCTTCTCTAGATACAATGAACAGTTTTCAGACAGCTCATCACATTTACTCCCAGCAATCTGAGCAGGGTTAATATATAATTGGAAGTCAGTGAAAATACAGACAGCTAAGTCATGCAGGACTGCAGATATACTGCTCTAAACACAGGTCACCTGAATTTTTAGAAAGAAGTTCCTAGCATGTGTCCAACTGAAACAACATGCACATCTATAGATATGAACCATACAATCAGTTTCAGGGGGAGAACTGCGCCCTTAATTGAGGTTTCTTAGGCCTTCATTCAGACAGCACAACTTCTCCTGATAGCAAAATTAAGCAAGTACTTGAGAACAAGCCTACATGGAGGGTAAATTAGGTAGGCTTTGGAGTGCTATTGTTATGGATGAACATTTAACTGTCTTAAATCTGCAAAGTGGAAACTAAAGCACTGTGTTACCTATATCCTAAACAGGGGGATCAGGCATATAGATGCT